ACAATAATTAAATATCTTCCTTGATATTGTCATCATATTTGAATATATAATTAGTCAAATTTAAAAGAGAGAAACAAAAAAACAGTCAACTTGATGAGATAGACGATGAGATATTAAGCTATCACAAAAATGGAAGCAAATATGAAGGCACAACAGTCAAGGGCACAAAGCACTTAAGGAAAAAGTTACCATTCAATATGGAGCAGTAGATATAAAGTATCACAACCGTCAAGTGAACACAGTTTGAAGAAGAAGCAAAAAAGAGTAGGCTAAACATCACATTGAGAAACCAAGACCAATAGAAAATGAGAAGAGTAAAAATGAGCTTTTAGCAAAAAGACCAAAAAAACGTTACCGAAAGGTGATGGATACTAAAGAAAAGCAAAGCATAAAGAAGAATAGAAGATTTTGCTGTTGAAGAGAAAAAAAGAGAAAGGAAGAGGAAAAAATAAAGAGAAGAGAAGAGTAATGATGGTGATGAGATGAGATGATGAAGACGATGCGAAAGAGAGAGAGAGAGAGAGGCAAAAATTGTAAACGGTTGTTGTTTTTGGTTCAGACAGAATTTCTTCCCAATCGATTGTACTTATGTGACAAAGGTTATAATTGTCAAAGATACCAAAATCTCCAGCAAGAATATCTTTTACTCTAAGAACATCTAAAATAAGCAAACCAAACTGAATTATTATCAATATTAATCGTTTGATGTCCTACTTGCAACAATCGTTAACCTGTTGTGTCTGTGGTAATTTACTTTATGTTCCCATGTCATCAACAGTCTCATCCTGTCAACATCATGTCTGTAAATCTTGTGTTGGAGGTAAATGAGACTTAAACCTTCCTGTTCTTGGTGTAAAGATCATTCAAAGTTTATCGAAAATATTCAACTTGAATTCTTTTACAATGTTATAAACAATTGGCTTCATTTATTTTATCCTCATCGATTGTTGATAATTGGGGTTATCTAGTATGCGAAACAAATCGCTCTTCTCATACTCATCGTTACCAAACAATTTTAATGGTCCAACCACATTTAGACAATTACTTGACGAAGGATCCATTTCCATGATAAATACACTTTTCAGAGCCGCCGCCATTACGAAGCTTCAATCGTCAAACAAATGGTCATAACAATAACAACACCAACACCAACAACAACAGCAATCATCACAATTATAATGCTCAACATCCTGACAACAACAACCAACAACAACAACAACAACAACAACAACAACAATAACATCAACAACAATGGCACCAATAATCATCGGAACGTTTCAAATCATTTACAAATTAATCTTAATTCATCATCATCATCATCTTCCCATCATTCATATTCCCTGCCGATGGAGAAACCAGAAATAGTATCAATGTTAAACTGTGAATAATGTTAAAAGTTACAACAATTTAAATACTAATGGTAATCGAATCAGCAGTATCACCAGTATTGAAATATTAATATTGTCGGTAATTTACTTCCATCGATAACCCTTAGTGAGGCCATTAACGATAACACGAAAACAGGTATCATACTTAAAGCGGGTTCAGCTCAAGCTTTTACTTTAAATCGTAACATAATCAAAGCAGATTCAACACAATTAAATAAAATATTAACCGGAACATTATCCAACAATTCAGTGACCAACAACAACAGTAACAATAATAATAATAACACCAGTACAACTCTAACCAATAACAATAGTAATCAAACACCATCGGTAAATCGTAAGGTTCGTAGAGGATGTCGATGTGGCCTGGCCACTCCGAATCCTGGTAAATTGGCCTGTTGTGGTCAACGATGTCCATGTTATGTTGAAAGTAAAGCTTGTAATCAATGTAAATGTCGCGGTTGTCGTAATCCAAATAAGGTGTCCAATTTAACGACAATTAACATAATCTCAACTTCATCTTCAACCGGTTCAATGTTAACATCATCATTAACATCATCGACACCATCAACTTCATCAATAACATCAACATCCAATATAATCACTCCATTAATCACTTCGACAACCTCAAACTCTCTGGCAACATCATCATTTACATCAGCATCTAAACAAACGGAATCGGCTCTAATTACAATTCCAAGTTTGATAGCTGCTAATCTATTTCAAATTCCGATAATTGTTAATAGCGACGGAGTATTAAAAGAGGTTGGTGGTAACAATCAAGTTCTCGTGACAACGGGAAGCATGAGAGAAGAATCAACAACACTAATCGACGAAGATAAAAGTACAAATGATTTAACCTTAAGTTCACAGATAATTTAATTCAAAAGAAATAAAGAAAAGATGATGAGAAAGAGAAAGAGAGAAAAAAAGTAAATGGTTGTCGTTTTTGGTTCAGACAGAATTTCCCAATCGATTGTATTTATGTGACAAAGGTTATAATTGTCAAAGAAACCAAAATCTCCAGCAAGAATATCTTTTACACTTAAGAACATCTAAAATAAGCAAATCCAAACCAAATTATTATCAACAACAATCGTTGTTAAAATGAATTGCTTCTTAATTAACTGTACAAATAGTGTTACAATTAACCAAAAAGAAGGTTGTTGGATGTTGGCTTGATTAAGGAAGGTAATCAATACAATCAATTTAACCTCAAATCACAATTAGTCAATAATGCAAGAAACAATTGATTGAGTTGATTTGCTTTTCGCCATCATTATGATTGTTATTTGTTGTTATTTTTAAACATTCATTTGAAAATGTTATTAATTTTTCACTTTGATTGTTTAACTGCAACAATCAAGGATAGACAATTAAAGATTCAGTAGTTGTACCTAGGAATTGATATTTAAAAACGAAATGAAAGGTTAATTGTAATGCACTGAGAGTGAACATGATTAACTGATTTACTGTTGTTATCCGTTGATTATTACCATAATCACCATCGTCATTACTTTTGTATTAATTGTTGTAATTGATCAATAATTAGTTGATCGCCGTATTGATACAAATTTATATACATTATCATATTAGCGTAATCATAATTGTAAAGGACTTCAAGTTAATTATGTCAATCACGAAAAAAGCTTAATTAACATTAAACTTGTTTTTGAGCTAAAATTGATTTGATGCTTCAAATACAACAGCAAAAAACAGTTCATTGTTGATTGTGAAACAATTCGAGAATGATTATCAATGGAAAATGTTAGTTTGCTAATCTGAAACAATTCTGATCACGATTATTATAAACTGTAACTAACGTGCAGATTTGAAGTGATTATGTTCGCAGAAGATTTAGGATTAATTAATCGCGATAACTATCACAATAATACTACAGATGATCAAGAAATCGATCTGTTTTCATTGTTGTTTCAAATTGTTGAGCTTTAGGTCATTTGAGTTACTTTGAATCTGGTTTTATCTTTTTCTTTTCTAGTTATTAAAGGTAACTAATCTTTAACAATGAACACTTTAATGAGTCATGAAAGTATTAGCAATAATATTTAATAAAATTAATGACAATACTATGATGAATGTATTATGTCAAATGTCTTCATGAAAGCCTAATGAATAATACTCTGATATTATGTTTGTAACAAAACTAAAAACTTCATAATCACATTCAATCGGATCATTCTGGTAATAGAACGAATGTCTAATTAAATATCTCAAGTACTTGAGGATGTTAACAAAGTTCCAATATCCAAAGCTATGTGAGTAAAACAAAACCATATATATATCGGCATAAATGGTTAATCTAGGTTCATGTGCATAAGATTGAGGATAAATATTATACTCATCAACTCCAATCAATTCAAGAAATTCAGAATTATTGATTATCCTTTCCCAGCAATCGAAGACAAAGCAAACTTCAATCAAATCCTGAAACGAAATTAAGAAAATTAATCTAATATCGGACAACTTTCTGTCTCTTTCTCTTTCTCTTTCTCGACCGATCCATATCTTTTCAATCATCTCCTTCATCTTTGCATTCATTTAAGTCATAAAGGATTTTGTGACCTTTGGTAATTTTAGGTTACCTTACACAACTCGAATATTTCTTACAATCGAGAATCGACTTCGGGATTCTTTCAAGCGATCGATAGAGAAGAGATAAGAGAATAAGACATAAAAAAATGTAAAATGACTTACAATGGAAAGTGAAGACATTATCGCTGTAATTTAGCTGCACTTTTAATTATAATATTGTTTAGCTCTAATATGATAATCAAAAATAGAATTTATTGTTCGAAGCTCAAAAGTTGGAGACTGTAGATATTGGTTTGAGAAAATCGACAGAATGATTGAAAGAAAGTTGAAAGTAACTTGATTTAAACAATTGACAGTTGTAAATAAAAATCAACATTAAAAGATATTTATTAGCATAAATTAAACAATTAATCAACTTTGGGATGATAATGACAAACACTAAATTTATCCTTAAAAACAAATGATTTTAAGTTTTGTATAAGCTCAAATCATCTATGTTTTGTAAAGATAATTTATCTAATTTAAAAACAAATCGAAGAGGATAAGAAAAGGGAAGAGAAAGAAAAGAAGGAGACGAAGCGAAAAGAACTATGATATAAGATATATCGACACGATCTAAAGGAACTGACATTCGTCTACTTGTACCAATACATATTTAACCCTTTTTGGTAGAAGCTGTTGAGTTTAGATCATAAGAATTAGATGTGGCTGATGATAAAGACAAAAAGAAGAAGAAGAAGATAATGATAGAAGATATTGAAAGAGACTGATGATGATGGTGATGAGATGTTGAAAACGGTGAGAAAGAGAGAGAGGCAAAAATTGTAAACGGTTGTTGTTTTTGGTTCAGACAGAATTTCTTCCCAATCGATTGTACTTATGTGACAAAGGTTATAATTGTCAAAGATACCAAAATCTCCAGCAAGAATATCTTTTACACTCTTAAGAACATTTAAAATAATCAAACAGAAACTGAATGGTTATCAATATTAATCGTTTGATGTCCTACTTGCAACAATCGTTAACCTGTTGTGTCTGTGGTAATTTACTTATGTTCCCATGTCATCAACAGTCTCATCCTGTCAACATCATGTCTGTAAATCTTGTGTTGGAGGTAAAATGAGACTTAAACCTTCCTGTTCTTGGTGTAAAGATCATTCAAAGTTTATCGAAAATATTCAACTTCGAATTCTTTTACAATGTTATAAACAATTGGCTTCATTTATTTTATCCTCATCGATTGTTGATAATTGGGGTTATCTAGTATGCGAAACAAATCAAGCCTCATACTCATCGTTACCAAACAATTTTAATGGTCCAACCACATTTAGACAATTACTTGACGAAGGATCCAATTTCCATGATAAATACACTTTTCAGAGCCGCCGCCATTACGAAGCTTCAATCGTCAAACAAATGGTCATAACAATAACAACAACACCAACAACAACAGCAATCATCACAATTATAATGCTCAACATCCTGGACAACAACATAACAACAACAACAACAACAACAACAATAACATCAACAACAATGGCACAATAATCATCATGAAACGTTTCAAATCATTTACAAATTAATCTTAATTCATCATCATCATCATCTTCCCATCATTCATATTCCCTTTGATGGAGAAACCAGAAATAGTATCAATGTTAAAACTGTGAATAATGTTAAAGTTACAACAATTTAAATACTAATGGTAATCGAATCAGCAGTATCACCAGTATTGGAAATGGTATTAATATTGTCGGTAATTTACTTCCATCGATAACCCTTAGTGAGGCCATTAACGGGGATAACACGAAAACAGGTATCATACTTAAAGCGGGTTCAGCTCAAGCTTTTACTTTAAATCGTAACATAATCAAAGCAGATTCAACACAATTAAATAAAATATTAACCGGAACATTATCCAACAATTCAGTGACCAACAACAACAGTAACAATAATAATAATAATAACACCAGTACAACTCTAACCAATAACAATAGTAATCAAACACCATCGGTAAATCGTAAGGTTCGTAGAGGATGTCGATGTGGCCTGGCCACTCCGAATCCTGGTAAATTGGCCTGTTGTGGTCAACGATGTCCATGTTATGTTGAAAGTAAAGCTTGTAATCAATGTAAATGTCGCGGTTGTCGTAATCCAAATAAGGTGTCCAATTTAACGACAATTAACATAATCTCAACTTCATCTTCAACCGGTTCAATGTTAACATCATCATTAACATCATCGACACCATCAACTTCATCAATAACATCAACATCCAATATAATCACTCCATTAATCACTTCGACAACCTCAAACTCTCTGGCAACATCATCATTTACATCAGCATCTAAACAAACGGAATCGGCTCTAATTACAATTCCAAGTTTGATAGCTGCTAATCTATTCAAATTCGATAATTGTTAATAGCGACGGAGTATTAAAAGAGGTTGGTGGTAAATCAAGTTCTCGTGACAACGGGAAGCATGAGAGAAGAATCAACAACACACATGGACATGAACGTAAATTGTTGGGTTAAAGATGATTAACAGAAAGAATTAATTGGAAATTTTGATAATTTCAGTTTCGTTTAATTAAGTTTATTAGAGGATTTATGTAGAAAAAACAACACGATATGGATGAGTCAGTAGAGAAAGACAAAGAGAAAGAGATTCAAGAGAGTCAAGAAAAGAATGAGTGAGATTTAAAGTAGGAGAGATTAGATGATTAGATGATTAAACACTCATTTCTGCTTAATTCTATAAGATTCGTTATAATCTTGAATAAGAATCTCGAATTCTTCAGCATTTATGTTCACATTGATCCTGTTGAATATAGTAGCAAACTCTAACCAATTCTTTTTCGCTTTTTCGAAATATATTTTCGCTTTAGAGTCTGTTCGTGTTTTGCCACTAATGGCTCTCGCGTTTATTTTATAAAAGCAATAGAGGTTTAAACTATAATATAATGTTATTTTCGATGAAATGGTTGACTTAACTGTCCCCGGACATGGCTTTTCCAGCAGCAATTGATATTTTCTCAGATTTTTTCTTGCCATGAACATGATATTTCGAAGAGTAACATCGACCTAATGATTAAATCAGATTAATAACAAAATCGATTATTATGTTACAAATTACACTATCAATTATACAGAGACACAACTCGAATATTTCTTTCGATCGAGAATCAAATGCGATTATGACATTTGTGAGCTCGATTAGAAAAAGAAAGAAAATCAAGAGAGACGAAAAGAGAGTAAAAAGAAAAGAGGTAAAGAGTAAGAGAAGAAAAAGTTAAATTGACTTACTATGGACGGTGAAGACATTATCGATGTAATTCAGCTCAAACTTTAGCACTTCAACATGAGTATTGATTAGCTCTAATGATGATTGAATTTAAGAACTGCTTGTTTGAAACTCAGAGGTTGAAATCAACCGTGAATGTTGGTTTGAGAAAATCGCAAGATTGGAATAAGTTGAAACTAACTTGACTGAGACAATTGACATTTGTAAATCAAAATCAACATAATAAGTTTATATTAGCATCAAATGTTAATCACTTTGGGATGATTATGATTAAACACTAAATTCATCCTTAGAAAAAATTGTTTTGAGTTTTGTATATGTTTAAATGATCTGTGCTTTGTAAAGATAATTTTGCTAATTTAAAACAAACGCAAAGGATAAGAAAGAGCAAGAGAAAGAACAAATATTCTCTGTAACTGCACCTCAGAAACAGCTTGGACAAAAGTATCCATCAAAGAAAGAGAAAAAAGAGAACAGTAGATTTTTGTTAAAAAGAAAAGACGAAGGTAAAGAGAAAGGAAAGGAAACAGAAAAAAGAATGATGATTATAAAGAAGATGAAACGAAAGAGAGAGAGAAAAAGTAAAGGGTTGTCGTTTTGGTTCAGACATAATTTCTTCCCAATCCAATGTAAATTGGGAAGTGAGACCTTTAACATGAACTTGACTGATCAAAACGTATCCTGTCACCTCTCGTATTTCGTTTAAAAGCTAAGATCGAAATTTTCATCTTCCAACCAAGATAATTCCTGGTTACCATCGACATAAGTACAATTGGTACCGATCTCTTAAATTTTTAGTAATGATGTTAACGATTTGAAAGAACTGACATTCGTCCACTTGTACCAATAAATATTTTACCCTTTTTGAAGGAAGATGTTGAGTTGAATGATGATGATGACTTGATGAGATAGACGATGAGATATTAAGCTATCAAAAATGGAAGCAAATGAAGGCACAACAGTCAAGGGCACAAAGCACTAAGGAAAAGTTACCATTCAATATGGAGCAGTAGATATAAGTATCACAACCGTCAAGTGAACACAGTTTGAAGAAGAAGCAAAAAGTAGGCTAAACATCACATTGAGAAACCAAGACCAATAGAAATGAGAAGAGTAAAATGAGCTTTTAGCAAAAGACCAAAAAACGTTACCGAAAGGTGATGGATACTAAAGAAAAGCAAAGCATAAAGAAGAATAGAAGATTTTGCTGTTGAAGAGAAAAAAGAGAAAGGAAGAGGAAAAATAAAGAAAGAAAAGTAATGATGGTGATGAGATGAGATGATGAAGACGATGCGAGAGAGAGAGAGGCAAAAAATTGTAAACAGTTGTTGTTTTGGTTCAGACAGAATTTCTTCCCAATCGATTGTACTTATGTGACAAAGGTTATAATTGTCAAAGATACCAAAATCTCCAGCAAGAATATCTTTTACACTCTTAAGAACATTTAAAATAATCAAACAGAAACTGAATGGTTATCAATATTAATCGTTTGATGTCCTACTTGCAACAATCGTTAACCTGTTGTGTCTGTGGTAATTTACTTTATGTTCCCATGTCATCAACAGTCTCATCCTGTCAACATCATGTCTGTAAATCTTGTGTTGGAGGTAAAATGAGACTTAAACCTTCCTGTTCTTGGTGTAAAGATCATTCAAAGTTTATCGAAAATATTCAACTTCTTTTACAATGTTATAAACAATTGGCTTCATTTATTTTATCCTCATCGATTGTTGATAATTGGGGTTATCTAGTATGCGAAACAAATCGCCTCATACTCATCGTTACAAACAATTTTAATGGTCCAACCACATTTAGACAATTACTTGACGAAGGATCCAATTTCCATGATAAATACACTTTTCAGAGCCGCCGCCATTACGAGCTTCAATCGTCAAACAAATGGTCATAACAATAACAACACCAACCAACAACAACAGCAATCATCACAATTATAATGCTCAACATCCTGGACAACAACAAACCAACAACAACAACAACAACAACAACAACAACAATAACATCAACAACAATGGCACCAATAATCATCATGGAAACGTTTCAAATCATTTACAAATTAATCTTAATTCATCATCATCATCATCTTCCCATCATTCATATTCCCTTGCCGATGGAGAGACCAGAAATAGTATCAATGTTAAAACTGAATAATGTTAAAAGTTACAACAATTTAAATACTAATGGTAATCGAATCAGCAGTATCACCAGTATTGAAATGGTATTAATATTGTCGGTAATTTACTTCATCGATAACCCTTAGTGAGGCCATTAACGGGGATAACACGAAAACAGGTATCATACTTAAAGCGGGTTCAGCTCAAGCTTTACTTTAAATCGTAACATAATCAAAGCAGATTCAACACAATTAAATAAAATATTAACCGGAACATTATCCAACAATTCAGTGACCAACAACAACAGTAACAATAATAATAATAACACCAGTACAACTCTAACCAATAACAATAGTAATCAAACACCATCGGTAAATCGTAAGGTTCGTAGAGGATGTCGATGTGGCCTGGCCACTCGAATCCTGGTAAATTGGCCTGTTGTGGTCAACGATGTCCATGTTATGTTGAAAGTAAAGCTTAATCAATGTAAATGTCGCGGTTGTCGTAATCCAAATAAGGTGTCAATTTAACGACAATTAATCTAACTTCATCTTCAACCGGTTCAATGTTAACATCATCATTAACATCATCGACACCATCAACTTCATCAATAACATCAACATCCAATATAATCACTCCATTAATCACTTGACAACCTCAAACTCTCTGGCAACATCATCATTTACATCAGCATCTAAACAAACGGAATCGGCTCTAATTACAATTCCAAGTTTGATAGCTGCTAATCTTCAAATTCCGATAATTGTTAATAGCGACGAGTATTAAAAGGTTGGTGGTAACAATCAAGTTCTCGTGACAACGGGAAGCATGAGAGAAGAATCAACAACACTAATCGACGAAGATAAAAGTACAAATGATTTAACCTTAAGTTCACAGATAATTTAATTCATCCAAATTGATCAAACCAACTTTAGAGAAAAAATCAATTCCTGATCCATCTAATTTTCAATTTGTACATAAATTTGTGTACAATTTAACTGATTGTTAATAATTTTCAAATAACCAAAATCACATCACATCCTAAAACCATTGATTAGACTCATAATTGATTATATTTTGCTTCTGAAAACACAATTACTTAAACACTTTCCATTGTATCATGTAAATGCAATGTAATCATATTATTATTTTACCATCTAAATAATTATCAAATGATGGTGATGAGATGAGATGAGATGATAAAGATGATGAGAAAGAGAAAGAATGAAAAAAAGTAAACGGTTGTCGTTTTTGGTTCAGACAGAATTTCTTCCCAATCGAATACGAATAAGATTTTCCATCTTACAAAGAGTAACCAATGAAGCAAACTCTTCATCTCGAATATTTAATTTGAAATCAGTTCGTCCTCGAATGATTTGTAAATTCGGAAGTGAGACCTTTTTAACATGAACTTGACTGATCAAAACGTATCCTGTCACCTCTCGTATTTCGTTTAAAAGCTAAGATCGAAATTTTCATCTTCCAACCAAGATAATTCCTGGTTACCATCGACATAAGTACAATTGGTATACCGATTTCTTAAATTTTGGTAATGGTGTTAACGATTTGAACTGACATTCGTCCACTTGTACCAATAAATATTTTACCCTTTTTGATGGAAGATGTTGAGGTTGAATCATAAGGAGAATTAGATTAGGATGATGACGATTAGGAAGAAGAAAAAGAAGAAGAAGAAGATAATGATAGAAGAGATTGACTCAAAATGGAATCAAATGTAGTTACAAAGATAATTACAAAATATACACAGAAAATAATGTACGACAATTAAGTATCTTCCTTGATATTGTCATTATATTTTCCTGTTAAATTAGATAAATATTAAAAAAAGAGAGACAGACAACTTGGTGATAAATGGGATGATAAAGACGATGAGATATTAAGCTATCACAAATCTTTCTCTTTCATTTTCTTTCATTCTTTTCATCTTTCTTCTTTTTGCTCTTTCTTTCTCTTTCAATCTCTTTCT